GGTGGGTGAGGAGCCCTGGTGCGCAGTGGAGCAGAGGGCTGGAGAAGCCCAGCCAAGGTCAGAAAACAGGGAGGACCCTCCAGCAGACCACCCAACCAAAACTCCCTAAAACCAGCCAAGCGCAGTCCTTACCACTCCCAAGATGCCCTGGCTCTTTCCCACCCGCAGGGAAGTACAGAAATAGGGGTACAGAAATGAGGGGAGTCTGAGGAGGAGACTGCGTCGCTAGCCCTCCCTACAAATGGAAGGTGGGCCACATGACACCTGGAGCAGAGCTGGCTGCTCACCAAGTCACCACCTGTCCCTGGGGACCAAGTTGATGACTGTATCAGGGCCAGTCCTCCGGATAATGAGCTGGCCTCATTCTTGAGTTGCGCTACAGGCTGAGTCCAAAGAGATGACCTTTCCCCAACTTAGCCCTCTCATGAGGGGAAACTGAGGCAGCCCGCCATTCCCCACAGGAGCAGCTTTGGAGTTTTCCTTGGAAAAAGTGGCCCTGATCTGCACCTACAGGGCCGACAGGAGCCAGTCCGGTGTAGAATGCTAGGAAGGGTTTTGTAGTTAACGGAACAGCATGAGGACGGCAGAAAGTAATACACAGAGGCAAGGGATACGTTATAGGTGGGCAAGTTCCAACAAGTCAGCAATGACTCAGAAGGCATGAGGGCTATGAGGCACCCTGTGGGGAAACAGTTCTCTCCAGGATGCTAAAGAAGGAAAGGGGGGAAAAGAGAGTGAGAAAGGAAGGGTGGGTGGCTGGGCTGTGGAGAGGGTAGGGAGATGAAGGCTGTGCCAGCTGCTAGGGTCTGTGCTGTGATCTCTGAAGGTGGTAGACCTGTGGAGACCGGAGGAGATGGGAGTTGGTGATGGAAGTGTGGGGCATGTATGGCCTCAGATAAAGCCTGGCCCAGCTGGCAGGACAAACACATGGAAAGGAGACACAGTGAGTACAGAAATCAGAGAAGAGGGCTCAGCTACATTGTTGCAGGGGGGGCAGGGTTCTGGGTCAGCTAGGGAGCCCTGGCTGGATACAATAAAGCAGATAGCAAGTAATCAGCCCTGGTCAGCCATGACACCTGCTTATGCTGAAGCCTTTGGCAGCATGGTGGCCTCAGGTGGTTCCTGGAGGGATAATCTGGAGTCCCTTCCCTGAAAATCCTGTCAGATACCTTGAGAGGATGAAAACCCACCCCCCACTCCAAGCTCCTGTCCTGGACTGATGCCCCATAGAGGCTTGGGCATCCTCCTACCCCCAGGAGAATGACCCAAGAGCCTAATTTGGCAGAGTGTTTCGAATAAATCCTCCCTGAGAGGGCACTGAGGACAACCTAGGACCAAGTCCTACAGCCTCCAGTGTCCTAGTACCTCAGACTTGCCAGGGATTGGGTGGGATTGGGTCCCACCCATTCCCAAACACATAGCCACACAAACTAGCCTGTTTTGCCCCACAGTTGCCACAAGCAGTACTGGGGAGACCCGTGTTCTGCCAGCCACTGTCCCAGAAGTGGCATCACTGGGAACAGCAGCCTCTCCATAGGCATGGCCAGGGGGCCAGGATGCTCTGAGCAGGTGCCCCAACCTGGCGCCCCTGCAAGCTGATTGTGTCCCTGTGTGCCCTCCAGTACCACATTCCTTCCTCCTCCAGCAAGAAGGCCTGCTTCTTGATGCCTCATGGCTCCTACTCGCCTTTCCTCCCACTAAACCCCTCAGAGAATGGCCCCAAAGCCCACCCAACTGTTAGGGCCACAACTAGGGAATCGTCCTGAGCCTTTCCTAGGCTCCTAGTTCTATCAGTGACAGAGTAATACAAGGACACTCTTCCACTTACTTGACATGTGAATCTGGGTGTGTCAATCAAATCCCTGTGTGCCTCAGTTTCCTTATTTGGCCCTCAGAGAATGGTATGATTAGAGTTTTATGATTAGTGAATACACAAATTCCAAGCACAGTCTGTGCTGCCCTTGGCTCCCTCCACATCGGCACTCCCTAGCCCCTTAACCCTAACTGTCTGTATCTTAGGTCACTTAGCAGTTCTGTATCTCCTCTCTCAACACCCTGAAGCTGTAGCAAGCATCTGACCCAGGGGTCTCCTTCCTCAACATACCCATGCCTACGCTTTCCTTGGCAGAGCCCCTGAAGGCTGTCCTCCTAGGCGTCAGCTATCCTTAGTACCCCTGGAGAAAGCAGGCATTTCAGAACTGCATGCCTCAGTCCTGGCCGTCTCCTCTCCACTTCCTACCCTACCATTTCCACCAGGCATTCCTTCTTGGGGAAGATTTCATTGTCAGATGCATCTACCCTGGGCTCCCACAGACCCTTCTTCTCACTCCCTACCATACCTAGAGGGCTCAAGTTGTACCCTTACCAATACAGCTGGGGCTGAGCTGGTTTCAGGAAGGTATGGAGAATGGAGGAATGACCTGCCTGGGGCAGGGCACAGGGCTGTTCCTTTGGGATCAATACTTTATCTGGTAAAGGTACACTTCCTAAGTAGGGTATACCATTGCCTAGCCACCACAGTTAGGAATCTCTCATGGTGAGAGCATTTCTCTGATCCCTTCAACAGGGCTCTCCAGCTAGCCTGAGAGAGGAGAAGGCAGGATTGAGGGTGGGGGCTACCTTCACACTGAACCCTGTAGAATGTAGGAGAGTTATTATGACCAAGTCCATATCATAGATGAGAAACCAAGGCCCAAAGAAGCAGAACCACTACTGAAAGCCACCAGCCTGCGGTAAGTGGCGGGTTTCCTCAAATTTGTCATTGTGGTAATCACACTTCCTTTTACCAAGTCCTCCTCACAGTGACAGCCTTTTGTTGCTCAGGTATTATTAAGTAGTCATTCTTCATGCCAAGTTCAACTCAACGCTCCCTTCTCAGTCACTGCCCCTAGTCCTCCTGGATGTGGAAGAGATGCTGAGGAGAGCCCCCCTCTGCTGACCTACCCTCTCTCACTCCCAGGCTCCCCTTTCCTGAAGTTGACAATCAGCCATGTGCAGTAGAAACCTAAACAGAAACCATGGTCCCTGACAACATGGCCTTGGGGGAAGAAGGGGTGCCCCCACCCCAGCTTCTCCTGGAGATTCCATCAGGGAGCTATGAGGTCGGGGATCAGACACACAATGCTTCCCATTCAGGTAAGCTGGTCGCCCAGCCCACAGCTGCTGTTGCTGCTGCAGGGAGATTTATGACCTGTTCTAAACGTCACCTTTTCAACTCCCGGTGCCGGCTCCAGCACCTCTGGGCTCAGCACTGGCCAGACTGCTGGCCAAGCGTGGCTGGGAGACGTGCCTGTGCTCACTACCACACACGAACAGTCCTGAGGAGACAGCGTTGGCTGAGCTAGGAGAGGCATCTGAGGGTGCCAAGTCCTCCCTACCTGCAGTCTGCAAGGAGCTCATCTGTCAGCTGAGCCACCAGGGCGTCCATGTCCTCGGAAGAACACTGTGCCTTCAGAGCCAGGTGGATCTGCTCCAGGCTAGCTTCCTGTGGAACAGGCAAGCCTAGGTCAGGAGTGTCACCATGGAGGGGGGCCCAACCCCCAGGCCCTGACATTGAGCCAGAAGGGAATGGATAATAGGAGCAAGAAAAGGCAAAGCCAGACTCAAACTACCAGCACCTTCCCAGCTCCAGAACCTTCCAGGACTCTCCACCATGACCCTCAACCTCAGAATCCCAGTCTCACGCATGGCCACAGGGAGTTCCCTTGCTAGTTAGAACATAGCCTGAATGCATCCTGTCCCACCTGCCACCCTGAGGCCAGGCCTGACTTCCCACAATGGAGTGCACCTCTCTGAGACTCCTCTGCAGTCCTTAGTGGAATTGGCCATAGACAGTCAGATCCAGAGCTACAGTCTCCCCCACAGCCATGGAGCTACCACTAGGCATAAGGACTGACCCTCAGAGTCAGCTGTCTTGGAGCTTCATCTGAACCCTTCTCTGGTTTGTCTCTGGGCACTTTCCCTAGGCCTGTGTCCTGAGATGGAAGACAGAAGCCAACTTCAAAATACCTGTCAGGCCCCAGCTGCTGCAGTTCCCCAAGCAGCCCTCTCCTCACATTAGTGCCTGTAATGTGTGCTTCACCCTGGGGAAACCCCTCAGAAGAAAACTCAGCCCCTGCTCTCTGGGAACTGTGGCCTTCTAAGGTGATAGTGAGGAGTGTGGTGGAGAGAGGGACGGAGCTTCTACTCCAAGTCCTTCCACTGGCATCAGCTGCCCATCACAACCAACTGCCAGCTTCAAGGACATCACCCCTTCCTTGCCTTTCTGCCGCCTCTCCAACTGTGCTCCTCAGTTGTCCCTAGGCCTCTTCTGCCCTTCCTCCCTGCTACTGCCCCCTCATTCCTGCCCTGTAGCCATACTGGCTTCCCTTAAGTGATGCTCCCTGGAAGGGAGCATACAGCCACTGCCTGAACCAGCAGCTTCCTAGCTTCCTTCTCCCCTCCCTTATCCTCTACACCTGTGCCCTCTCGGGATTCTTCTGCATGCCCTGTCCAAGCACCAGACAGACCTGAAAGTGTAGAGAGGTCCCCAGAAACCTCTCCTCACCGCCCCCCAAAGCAGAACTATCCCACATTCAAACACTCCGCTCCTCTCCCCAGGTTCCCAGCTTTGAAGCCCAGATCATTTCTCTCAAAGCCCTTCATCTCCCCAAGGCCAATGTATCAAGGCCCAGCAGCTCAAGCTCCAAAAACTCCCTAAAAAGTCACCTTCTTCCCAGGGCTCACCCTCCCCTGAATGCTTGCCATGATATCCTGGATAGGGATCCTGTTCCACATCCTCCCATTGTCCCCAGGACAGCCTCTTGATGTTCCTTAGCTGCTCCCCTCCATGCCACACACCTCTCCCTCAGCACCCATGAATGCCAACTGGATCTAAGTTTGGAGCTCTAGCTTCTGGCTTCTGGCTGGAAGTTTCTGGCAAAACTATTGTGTGTGGTATAAGAGTCACAAGGTGTCTAGTAATAAACATCAGGCATATCCTGACACCCCAGCTGCCTCTCAGCTTTCTCTCTCTCAGTCATCTCCCACATCCACCTGGAGTGTACCCAGCATCCTTAATACCCCATCTTCTCTACAAGTCTGCAGATACTTCTTGAAGGGCTAGAGACCAGGTACCATGTCTGGACAGGATCCCACTCACCAGCCGGTCCGCAATCCTGAGGAGCTGATTTTGAGTCTCAATTCGATGGCTGATGTCTTCCCAGTATGAGGACAGTACCACCACTGGCTTCACATTGCCCCAAGGCAAGTAATAGTAGTGGCACCCTGCAGGGAGGGGAGCAGGGTCTGAGTGCTAGGCAGAGGCCCAGGACGGTGGAACACAGCTCTGCCTAACATGGTACTCAGGCCACTGGGCTTTCAGAATCATCCCAGCTTGAGAGAGGACTCAAGATAGATATGCTTTACTCTCCTCTCCCCTTAAATGCTTGTGATATGGCTGATAGAAACCCCAGTATCCAGACAAGGTACCTGAGCACACTTTGGGGGGAGAGAGGGACAGACTGCTGTGGCCTCGCATCAAAACAAGGAGGCTGATAGAATATCTCTGGAAAACCCAAGCTCACAAGGTCTCCAAGCCAAACCCCTAGACCCCATGTGTTGATGGAGATGGCTCGGGACCAGGACAACTGCAGAACCTGCAGGAGTCCAACCTTCAGCGGGCCCCCAAAAGGAATATAAGGGACAGCACAAGAAGTAGAAGAGAGGAGCCCCAAAAGGTTTAGTGTAGTTTCCATGGAGACAGGGTTTAGGGTTTGGTGTCTGCCCTGTGACCCAGGTCCCTTCCAGCCTCACCCACCATCAAAGACTGCCCGGCTGTACTGGGTGGTGGAGGCCAGGGGCAGGCAGGTGGTGTCGAATTTGTTTCCGTAGTTCCCAATGCTGACCTCGAACTGGATGGCATCGTCCACATCCTGCAGCATTGTGGCTGAATAGAAGGCAGCAAAGAGGGAATATTTGCGCCTCCGGAGGTACTTCTGCAGGCAGAGTGAGCAGGCCAGAGGTCACAAGGAGACAAACAAGATACCCAGCAGGGCAGATCCCATAGATGTCAGGCCCTAGCCATGACCAGGCCCCAAAAACTCCTGGCTGGGCAGAGGCTGGTCCAAAGGAACAGCCTCCAGACTTAGTTACTGACTGAACAAACTCATTCCAGGTTCATGCGCATTCACTCATGTTTCCTAATACAATCTGCTCCTCCAAGGTCAGGCTGCTCTTTAATCCAAACCAGCATCGATGGCACCACCATGTCCACAGAGCAGGGTCTCCCGCAGTGTCCCTCAGGGCAGCCTATACCTCATCTGCCCCTTAAAGGGGCTGAAAGCTCTCAACAATCATGCCCTGCCCAGAGCTACACACATGAGCACACACAAGCCCACACGCACATGCACACACACAAACACACACACACACCAGGCAGCCCTGTAGTCTGCATAAGCAGCCTCAGCCATGTGCTCAAAATACTTATTTCAAATTGGGCCCTTCAAGCCCAAGACACAGGACTGAGACAATGTAAAACAGTCATGTGTCTTGACATGAAACAACATAATATTATAGTCACTTCCTTGGAAAGCTGAGGAGAAAGGAGCTGAAAAATTGGAGTTTTTGAGCTTATGAATAGTGATGGCAGATAACACTATGTGCCTACTGTGTGCATACAAGTCTTACTGTATGCTTACTGTATGCCTGCGTCACGTCTCTTTTCATCACTGTCTCCTAAGGTAAATGTGACTACAGACAGGGAAACTGAGGCAACTGGCAGGTAGGAAGGCCAGCATGGAAACCAGAGGTAACTAACTACAGTGTCCAAATGACCCTGGAGACCGTGCATTGCTCTGATATTTCTGGGCCTTAGTACATGGAGTTAACAACAGCTACCTTGTGGCATGCTGGATTTGAAGAGGTCAGTTGTAAATTGTGTCGAACCAATCATGGCTAGCTGTTCCCACAGAATCCTCAGAAAATGGCATTTCACTTTGTATCAAGCTCTAAGTTTCTATACTACTTTCATTTAGCTCCCTTAAACCCCAAAGCCTCCCTGAGGTGGACTATTACATATCCCCACCCTACAGCTGAGAGTACCGCCATAGTAAACATGGGTCAGAACTGAAGAAGGCCCTCTACCACGGTCCTTAGCTACCTTGTTCCTACTCCCAACAGGGACCCGCTGTCTCCCAGAGCAATGTCCTCACCTCCACACGCAGGATATCATCAGCCGGAAGGTCTTCCACCTTCTGCTCACTGTGCTCCACCAGTTTGGTCTCCAGAGACAGCAGAAGCCTGCCTCGGTAAGCCACACCTTCTCCCTGAAAGAGAAAGTTGGGTCACCAGTAAAGGGGTGAGGGATGGGGGGCACAACACGTAACAACATACTGTAATTCACCCCTACAGAATAGGGGTGTATCAGTCCTCCAACCCAGTCCACAGGGATGAAAACTGAGAGGCCTAGGTGCCTCGGGATGGAGACAGTGGACAGGTCCAACTGGCCCAGGAGAAAGAAGCCCAAAGGCCTAACAAAGGAGGCACTCTGAGGGGTCTGTCCAGGCCTCATAAGGCCCACAGAATATCATCTGGGCCCAGACACCGGCAGGCTGGCCTGGAGACCCTCGGGATACATGTAGCTGCTCACCTTCCCTGTGTTGAGTTCTGCATATGGGTCTGGGAAGCCCGTGAACTCCCGGGGGCTGCCATAGAGGTTCACATAGCAGGGTCCAAAGGTGGGAAGAAAGCCCAAGTTGTCATCCACTGGAAGACACAAGCAGGTATCAGAGAGGTGGCCCTGTAGATCTTTCTAGGGTTTAACCCAGACACCTTCAGTCTGGTCCTCAGTTTCCCCCACATGCACCAAATGTGGGCCCTGCACATGTATAATTACTAATACACTAGCAATGGTGTAGCCAACTCCACTCTCTCGTGAGTCCGCAGTATGCTGGAATGAGGCTATTTCTATTATGTTATTAGTCCTACTTCACAGATGAGGAAACTGAGGCTCAGAGATGTGACTGACCACAGGATAGCAAGAACCCAAGTAGTGCAACACACTCAGCTGTCTGCACACAGGCTGGGGCTCAAGCCTTCCCCTCTCAGGTCAGGGGGTGAACCCAGAGTCAGGTGAAAAGAAGTCATGTCCCAGGGATCCCCCCCAACACACACACACACATACACACTTATTGTGGCAGTGGGGAGTTGGTGGATGAATAAGGCAATCGGTCCCATCCCATCATCCCCACCTTCCGGGAGATGTTCTCTTGATAATGTCACAGCTGCCCTTCCAGGGACAAGACCTCCCTGGCCAGACCCTGAAACCCTGCAAAGGCAGGTTGTCCCTTTCACAGGACACTTCCAAAATGCTCAAGGTAGAACCATCATCAGGGCTGTCTGTGTGTCTCTGTCCACACAAGGACGAGCCAGGTCAGACACAGGGAGAAAAGAGCTTCCACGGAGACCTCTTCAGCGGGCCATGTGGCTGTACACTCTAAGCCATGCCACTGAGACAGTGCAGGGAGGTGTGGGCAGCTGGAGCTAGCCTGCCCATCACCTTTCCACATATTTCCTCCTCCAGCCCTCAGAGCAGACAGAACTTGGCAAAGGGGGAGGCCATGGGATGACGGGACTCGGAGGAACACTACTAACTGCTGAGTCAGTCATCACAGTTATGGTTTACCTTGTGAATCATGTGTCAAGCATTTCTCATTCCCCTAGCCAACTCCAGATCACTGAGATACTTCACAATTCCCCTGGCCCACCATGGTCCCCCATGGTGGAAGCATTCACGAGGCAACAAGCTTAGAAATGGTCTGGGGTAGCCAGAGGAACTGGCCTTAGAAATGGTCTGGGGAGCTAGAGGAACTGGCCTTAGAAAGGTCTGGGGGAGCTAGAGGAACTGGCCTTAGAATGGTCTGGGGAGCCAGAGGAACTGGCCTTAGAAAGGTCTGGGGAGCTAGAGGAACTGGCCTTAGAAAGGTCTGGGGGAGCTAGAGGAATTGGCCTCAAGGCATCAGTTACCCGGGTGCTGAGTCTTGCCAGTGGTCAACCCAGGGGCCTGGCTGCAGCTCAGTTCCCTTCATGAAAGTCAGAAAATTCCCCTCCATCAGAAGCCCCAAGGTCCCATCCCCTCATGGTCCCCTAGATGACAGCAACGTACGGTCAGTGGCTTTCGGAGGCTTGAGTACACCTGCCGGCTCCTCTGAAGCATAAAGAAATGGAAAGGGGTTAGGATGGATGTGGCTTGGTGGAGAATGGTTACATGAACAGGAGCCTGGATGGAGAGCTGGCAGACAGACACTGTGAGTGTACAACAAAGGAAGGTACACACCTTGCCCCCCAACTCCCACCAGCTCCCAGCACCTCTGTGACCTGAACCTCCATTCAACATACTCAAGAGACAACACACAGAAAAAAATGTACTTTTTCTACATTATATGCAGGTAAATTAGAAGTAATGATACAGAGGAAGAAACATGAAAAGGGAAACACGAAAGAATCATTGTGCACAAACAAACACCCTGGGTTCCAAACATCAGATTGACACTTGGGCCCCAGCGCACTCAGCCAAGGCCATTCAAGGCACAACATCTCCACCTGGTGGGAGTTTCTAGTATTGCAACAGACTTTTTTCTCAACAGAAGCCACCTGGGTCTGGCTTGTAGCATCAGCCAGACCCAGGGAAGATAAGAGACAGATGTTGTCCACTGGCACATGCACACACACACACATGCACAGCACATATATATTCACATGCATAGTAATAAAATGTTTAACCCTCTTCTTTACCCACAGATTCAGAATGGGTTCAAGGAGCTGCCAGAGGACGTTCTATAAACATGCAACCCAGAATGACTTATCATTCTGCAGTTTCATTCAAAATAAATGTATTTGTTCCCTCATAACCCCAAGACTGTGGCTTGGACACCCTGGATTTAATGTGGCCCAAGGAAATTCTTCATTCAACATGGCCCAGGGAATGCAGGTTGGACACCCCTGGAAGGCTCACAAAAGGGGTGTGGAGGAAGAATAAGCTACAGATATGGGAGTCTGTGGGTAAAGGCAGGGCTGGAGAAGTGAGGCCAAAGGCCCAAAGAGGGCAAGGCCCTGAGCTGGCCCTTACACCCCTGCAGTCAAGCCTCAGCTCCCACTACTGGCTGGCAAGAATTGGTGTGACAGACTGTGCCCTGTGAAGATTTTCCTACCTATAGGAGTTGTCCCTGGCATGGGAGAGCTCTCAGCCTGGCAGGGTGACCTGCACAGGCATAGCCATGGTCCCCAGATTCTACTTTAAGCTCCTTCCAAATGACGCTCAGCAGGAGGAGCCTGATATCTTTAACTAATGAAGCCAGGGCCAGAGATGTGACCCTGTGTGCTTCTTGCCAGAGACTGACTTTTTAATCTGGCAGCCAATCAGAGACAATTCTCCACCAGTCCCACTAGCCAGCTAGCCAACACCTGCTGCTGGTGGCTGGAAGAATGGCACAGACCTCCTTGCTCAATTGCATATTTGTTCATTTAGGAACCATAAGTGGATATAATAGTGGGCGTTGGCATGGCCCTGCTGACGTCTTAAGCCAGTGCTTCCCAACTGAGAACACGTCACAAGTCTCCGATGCCATGGTTCACCCCAGGTTCTCGGCCCTGTGTCTGCAGACAGCTCATAAAGTCAAGGGCAGGGTGAGCAGAGAAGCCACCCCACACAAAGCCTCTATTTAGCCCTGGCCATCTTTTCTGCCAAAACACAAGTGTTTCGCTGTGTTTTCCCTGAGCGTGGAGAACTGGGCCCAAGGAAGCCCAAGTCCCAAATGAACACGCCCAGGTTTTCACTGTGAGAGTGAAGCCCAGCTCCCTCACCTGGGTGAACTGGAAGGGACTCAGGCTGCCAGCCACAAGTCACAGCTCAGCAGGCAGTCCCTGGGGACATGTGTGTACCCTGGAGAAGCCAAGCCATTACCTTCAGCCAGTTCTGCCAGCTCCCAAGGCTCGGCAGAGCCCCAAGCCCACGGCTTTGGCTGCCTGACACCCGCCTGGGCCAGGCAGGAGGGGAAAGGAGAGATTGCTGGGAAATTCACTGTCATCCATAGTCCAAAGACAACTTTGGTTTTCTCAGGGCTGTTCTGTAGTATGATGTGCATATGGGTGAAGGTGTCAAAGGTGCCCGCAAGTGTCACAGGTCCCACACGCCTACCACCTTTCAAAAGAACTGCCACATCTAAGGAGAGTGCACACTCCAAATTTTTAATGAAAACAAAGCCTTCCCTTAATGCACTGGCGCACAGGGTCCAAAGAATACTTCAGTGTGCCCAGGCAAACTTGTGGGCCGAGGTGCTTAGGAGGTAGTGTTAGGTCTTGTCCTTACCAGAGACAAACACAAGAACACAAAAACAAAACTCCAATTCCAGACTGAACCAAATCATCTGGAACCTCAAGATAGGGAGAGAGAGACAGAAGTGGGTTTTGTTTGATTGGTTTGTTGTTGTTTTGAGACACTGTCTCTACTAGTTAGCTGAGGTGGGTCTCATACTATATAACCAAAGATGATCTCGAACCTCTGATCCTTCCAACTCTACCACCCAAGCACTGGGCTACCAGGGACATGACACCATGCCCTGTTTATGCAATGCTGGGAAGGGAACCCAGAACTTTCTACATGCTGGCTAAGCTGGGCTTCATTCTGAGCCCAGACTCAGTTCTTATAGTACAGTGTGTTTTGGGAGACACAAGAGAATAAGGTAGTGTGCCATCCCACCACAGTTAAGAAAAAATACAAAGGGGAAGGGGGGAAAGTGGCAGGGATATGTTCCAAGCAGGGCTTCGGAGCTGGAGAAAGAAACATAGCTAGGAGAAAGGCAAGTGATATCTTACAGACTAGACAGATCTTCTGCCTGAGAAAGGAACCCACCTCTATTGGCAGGAACCTCAGAGAACCTGGGAAGTCCCAAAGAATAACCCATTTTGATTAACTCTGCTGTCACATTGTTCTAGCTATTTTGCTGTACATTCCAGAAGTGGTTAGCTGGGTGCAAGAACAGTCAATGGTCCTGCCTTTGACTCCACCCCTGAACTCCACACTGGATTGCTCATGACTTGGGCGCCATCTATTGACCATGGAAACAACTTTCTCACCTCATTAAACCAGGGTGATAGAAGGCTGGTTACATGGCACAGTGGTAGGTAATTGCCAAGCATGCCCAAGGCCCTAAATTTAATTCCCAGTGCAATAAGCAAGTAAGTGAATAAATAAATAAATAAATAACAATCAAAAGAAGGCCAAAATCACACCAAAAATGAAGGCTGCTAGGGCTGCGGGAGTGTCTAACCTCACATCAGGTTGCTGAGGACAGACACAGGGGTATCATATCAGAAACTTCCCCAAAAAATACTCAAAAGTGTCATACTGTACCTTGACCACCATTAATTCCTGTATTCAGAGACAGAGACAGTTCCAAGTCTGGAAACTGAAGAAGACTCATGACATACAGGGTGGCCTTGGTATCACCACGTTAAGACACTGTCTCGGTTCTTCTGCCTGTATGTGCAAAGCAGCACTTCACCAACCCCCTAACCAGCTCCCTGTGGGGGACTACACCCTAGGAGTATGAGGGGAGGGGAGAACACTCCCCAATAGCAGAACCTTCTAGAAGTATGTCTGTGTGTGTTGGACACTCAAGGCATCAGTGATGAAGTCAGGATGGAAGATCAGCACTAGACACCTCTGGGGATATAACTCGGCTGGTACAATACCTGCCTAGCATGCCTGAAGCCCTGAGTTCAATCTCCCACACTACATAAACCAGCATGGTAGTACGTGCCTGTAACCCCAACATTTGGGGGACCAGAAACAGGAGGATCAGAAGTTTAAAGTCATCCTAGACACACAGTGAGATCAGGGCCAGTTATATACATATATATGTATATATATATATATATATATATATATATTTCCAGGCACTCAGGAGCCAGAGGCAGACAGATCTCTAGGAGTTCAAGGCCAGCCTGGCTTCCTCTGATCACTGTACATCAGACATCAGAGGGGTTTCAAGTTCCAGGCCAGCCAGGGCTACAAAGTGTGACTCTGTCTCAAAAAAAATTTATTTTGAAATATGTTTCAGAAAAGTTAAGATGGGAGAGCACTGGGAATGAGGCACATGAATCACCAAAGCTGCAGAGTGGCAGAGACATACAGAGACCCTGGCCTGTCTGTGCAAATGCCCTTGCTGAGCACATCTCATTAGAAAGTGAGTGGCACAGCCATAAGGATAAGGAGAGCCTCCATTTGAATGCTACAAGTTATAGTTTGGGGTTCCCACACTCAGGCAA